GAGCGTCCTTTCCAGGCTGATGTGCCTACACAACCAAAATTCAGTTAAATCTGTTGAAGTATGCTAAACAAACAATTGCTGTAGCAGTCTGTGAAAAGGACTCTTGATTCATAGAAACACTTGTTTCCCTGGAACTCCCTATTGTGGATGAATGACAGACATGAAAATGCTTCACCATAACTTGCTAGTGTTTGCTAATTTAGCTTGCTCAGATTGCCTTGAGTGTTCTTGTTCATGTAGGTAATGAATACTTGCGGTTGCTCCGTTTAAAGGATATTCCAATCTGGAATAACTCTAGTTTTAATTTAAATACTTTGTAAGCACAAACACTGTTTATACTATGTATATTTATATAAATGTATGAACACCTTAAACTTTCCTAGCGGTGCTATACTTTGGGATTAATACAGTTTGGCATGGATTCAGGAAGGTAAGGCTTAACCCTGATTTGACTAGATTTGGCTTTTCCTGGCTTATTGTTTTGACACAGTAAAATTGCATTTTTTCAGAAGATATATATAAAAATAAAGATTTGCCGCTCTCTGACTCTTCTTCAGAAGTAGTAGCTTAGTCATAGACAAAAAGCTGGTGTTAGGCCCTTTCTCCTTTTCTATGTGACTGCATGTTGGCATGACTGTCACTGAATTTTTTACGTGAATCAGGTACTTCCAGCTTAGAAAAGACAATTAGGAAGATGATGCCGTGTGGCTCTGAGGACTGACTCTGTATATATTGACTAATTTCCTGACTGTTTTTGCATACTTTCATAAAGAATTAGGAAGATGGTAAAAACAGCAGTTTCGGACCACATTGGCATGTTGTGCACGTTCAGGAAAGTGAGTTATTGGGATAGCTTGGATCAACCTGACGTAGTAACGTCATAGTGCCTGAAGTAGATGTGTGTTGTAACTGAAACTAACCTCATCTGTATGAACAAATAATACATGTTGTTTCAGAGTAAATGAAAATTATTTGGAAGAAGTTGGCTCAGTGTCCAGTAACCATTTTATGTTAATATTCTTTTCATAGTTCTACATTCTATTTTGTTCTTTCTGGTTAGCACATGAAGTTCTGTCAATGTGATTTGTGCATATGATTAGCTGTGACAATCTCTTTTTCTTTTCCCAAGGGGAAATTCATCCAGAGGTTTTCCCCATATTTTTAGTGGAACTTGTGAGAATTCCTCAGCTATTGCTGCTTGCATAGATTGTGTTAATCGTAAGCTTGTATGTAGGTGATTTTATTTTATATAATGCAGTAATAAGTAGATCAAAATAAACAAAAGTTTAATTTTACCAGGGGAACATGAATGTGGCAGCTCTAATCAAAGAAATCTTACCGTCCAGGAGGCAGCTGCATATTTGAAAGTAAGCAATCGAGGTATTTTTCATTGGTTGTATCTAAGATTTGTATAAGTTACAATTTGTAAGGTCTGGTTTCCTATCTAGTGTAGTGTCTAAAATTTGACTTAGTATTGAATATTATTTGGAAATGCTTGGAATTAACGCATGCTACTCATAGTTTTTTATTTGGGGAGGTAGGTTTTTGGGGTGGGGGAAGGTGAAAGAAAACCTCAACTGCTATGCAAACATAGATAAGTGGTGCTTTATTGCATGCAGTTTTTCCCTCTTATAATTAAAACACAAAAACAGAGCATAATTTCAATTGATGCAGATGATTGACCAACACAAATATAAAAATTTGTGCAGAGCAGATCTCTAGAAGCTTCTCTCGAGCTCAGTAGGCAATGTTTTAGGACAGTTGTTTGGCACCTACTGAAAAGGATGCTGTCGTCCTCCTTCCTTTAGGAGGAGAGGCTGAAGCATGGGTCTTTGCTGTGGGCTTTATAGGCAGCAGCTGTGTGGAGACACCAGTCATTGATACTTTAAACTGAAATGGTCCAAAAGAGCCTTCTTGTTAATTTGCTAGGTGTGCAGTACTCTGAAATCCTGCTCTGCCCTACCATTCCCCCCTGCGTGGCCTCAGTAAAAGATGTTTCTGGTCTTTGGACAGTAGGAAACTCCCTGAACATTTTTAAAAGCTGAGGGTACAAGATTTTTTTTATTAGTTTGCAGGTGGGGGTTTAAGATATAAAGTTTATATGACTTTATTAATAAATGTACAGAAAGCCAAGATTAACCTTGCATTCTGGTGAACGTTATAAACAAAAAGGGGTGATTTGAAGAGCATCCTGAAGAAGGTGCTAGCAAATTAAGGAGGTGTGGATTGGCAATGATGTTTTATACTTGTTAAAACTAGGACATTGTGGGAGGATATGAAAAAAACTAAGTTGATTTGGGATAACGGATGGTCTTACCTATCTATTATGCTTAAAGAATGACAGTTGGTATGACCACAACTGTGTTAGCTTCTGAGAGGAAGCTCAAATTTCATATGCTAATTTGTCACTTTATGTGAAGTGTCGTTTAAGCCTACATTTCTTCTTTTTTGGGGAATGTAAATGCAACTCTTTGCAGCATGTCACTGTGTTCAGTGACAAAACTTTAGTGGTTTATTCTCAGCATGAAAATAAGAGAGCTGCTGTTTTAATTTTTCTTAGGTGCTTTACTTTTAATTCTAGGCCGATTGCATTATGTGAGGTTCAAAGCAAGATTGGGATAAATTTTTTTGGAGAATGTCAGTTCAAGTACAGTATTAACTTACCTTTTTCTTTCCTTTTCTGCAAAAGGGCATGTAAGATGAACTATGGAGACAGCCTTTGCTCAAATAGCAGTGGGTTCTCCTGTGATAACTGATATGAATTAACTTAAAAAGAATACATCACTTTCCATGTAGTAATATAATCAGTTGTTGCACTAGAAGTATTGGAATATTTGCAGAATATCAGTTAAAATTGGCTCTCATCAAGCTGCTCTAAAAAAAAAAAAGGGGGGGAAAGAAGGCATCAGCTTCTTCTATAGGGCCTATTTTCAACAAGTTTTATATCTAGTTTGAGTTTTAATTTTGAAGTAGACTTTCCATGAGCACCGCCTAGTGGCTGAATAACTTTTTCTTGCTGCAGGTTATAATTGTTAATAAAATGGTGAAAGTGGCTTGACTTTTCAAAAGCCCTCAATTCAAGGAATATTAGTAAGTCCCGTAGCTGCTCATAGCTTGCATGGATTCACTTTGCCAGGTGAACATTATGCAAAAAATGAAGACTCAAGAGCAAAACCATGTAGGTTTCCCACTTATCTGTTTGTGTGATATTTGTATTTTAGTTTGGCATGACAACTTTCCAGCTATTAAAGAAACTGCTCATTAATATTTGTCTTTGACAGAATTTAGATCCAGAATATGAAAGTGTACTCAACACATCACTACAATGGATCTTGAATAGTGGGGAAGATGTTGGCATAAAGTAAGTGGTTTTTATTTTATAGCTTAAATGCTTCTAATAGAATGCATACTTTTCGGTAAATACTTTTTTTTTTAATAGGTGTCTCAGCAATGACTCAGATGAGATAAATGTCACTAATGTGACAGATGTGAAATATCTGGAATCTACTAGTCCAAAGATGTCTTTCAGGTGTCGTTTTCGCCGTGCATTTATTAATGTAACTCACAGATTGTCAATACTGCTTTTGGGTAAGTTAAAAAGCAAGCTTTTGCATTTATGTAATTGGATTGGGGGGGGGAAGGAAATAGCATGTTTACAGAAAGTTTTTAATCAACTATCCAACTCGGAGCTCTGGTTGGTATCCTCGTTACAACAGTCTGCTTTGCACTTTGATTGTACCACTGTATTTTCCCATCAGTTGCCATCACCTGCTATTTTAGTCAGGTCACCTTTGGGACCTGCAACAGCAAAGTCTTGTGGCTTTCAAACATCCAGACTGAGCTGATTTAAAAAAAAATTTCCCATGAAAAGATATGGTAGCCTTGATTAGAGAGCATTTCACTAGAGTTTGAGGAACTTCAGGAAAATCTTTTCTGTAGTTGCATTTCCAGTGTGTAGGAAAAGTTGGACAGTCAACATGGTTGTCACCAAAAATTCCTAACTGTAAGTTAAGTCTGTGTTACAAAATAAAATACGTATGTACAATAAAAAATGGATTTAGTCTTTGATAAAGATAGATAACTTAACCCTCTAGTTAAGTTTCAGATCCTTCCAAGTTTCTCAGTCTTGACTGGATTGAAAAGCATGCGTTGTAATGTATGGTCCTGTTGAGTGTAGACACGTTGCTCCATGGTGTTAGAAATATATGAGATGAGCTCTGCATCTTCAATACGTATTGGATATTCAGTAATTTCTTTATCCTAGTGTTTTTAACAGTCTCATACTTATGGAACAGAAGATATAAGACCTCCTTCATTAGTCTTCTGACAAACCAAAGAAGTACGAGACAAACTGTCCCAGATTACCCTCTTCTGACAGTAGTGGATAGAGTGCTGGATGGGGACTTCAAGACAAAGCTCAAAATCAGCCACTGCTCTGATTAGTTATGCTTGAGCAAATCACTCAGTGTCTCAACTTTATCTGTAATTGAGGATATTAGGAAGCACTTCTTAAAAATGGAGAATTATATAAAATTTAGTTGTGTTGTCATTACTAAGCACCCATTTTGGTCTAAAATAATGGTGTCACTTGTTCTCTTCGATATATCGGCTAATGTTACTTTGTGCCACTGGTCCCAAAACCAACTATGTAGCTAGAACTTGTGTATATTTTTTCATTGCTAAGAGATCTCCTGTGTAGTGGTGCCCTCAACCTGAGACAGAAGAGAGAATGAGATTTTTCTGATGGCCTTTCAGCTTATGTTACCTTCTTAACTAGACTGTCTTTTTTGAAAATAACCCTTAAGATAAAAGGAAAAGAACATGCAATACCTCATGGCAAGAAATACAAGTCTGTAACTGAACTGAAGTAAAGTTAATTAGTTTTGACTTATACATTGAAGGCATGTGACTTGTAAATAAGAATATTACACATTTTTAATTCTTAACGAGTTCCAAATTGCCAGTTTACATAGACTTTTAATATTCTTTCTGTTCTTCGGAACTTAAGAACTACTGTCGCTTTGTTAGTAAAATAAAAAATATTGATGATGAAGGCAGTTGAATAGATTTGAATTTTGAGGTACCTTAAAATATTAGCTAGGTCAACCAACTTTGGAAGCATGTAGTGTGGACTTTTTTGGATTGTTGGCAATTTAACAATGTTTCAAGAGTTTTATCCGTTTTAATGCAGGTGTAGCAATGGTGTGGGGAGTCTTGCACTACATGAAATATCGTTGGGCAAAGGAGGAAGAGGAGACGAGGCAGATGTATGATATGGTGGTAAAAATCATAGGTATGGCTTCTCAGATCACATATTTGATACATCTGTATCAGCTTTGCATAAGCTATGAGAGTACTCACCATAATTACATCAGTTATGTTTTCTAGTCTCTGTGTCCAGTTGTCAGTCATCTTGCTGTTAAAGCACTTGGAGAGATGCTTGTTTCACGTTTTTTTTTTTAAAAAAAAAAAAAAACATATTTGTGTGTGTGGCAGATAAAATGCTTTAAGCTCGTCCTAATCAAGGTACTTGGTATACAGTCTTAAATTTGTGAATTATATCATCATGGCAATAATAGGTTACATCCTGCCTGGTCAATAGTAATTTATTTCTGAAATTACAAATACATATGGGATATTGGTTGGCTTTAAGTGCGGTAACACGTTGCCTTCTACAACCATTTTGTCTTTCAGCTAGCTTTAGCCAGTCCACTCCTAAAACTCACGTTAGCTCTCAATTCCATCCTTAATGGTTGTTTAATAGAAAAAGGAACTTTTAAATTTAGTCAGTTTGATCAGATTTGTGTTACTAAAATAGAACGTGTAAATTGAATTCTGAAATTCTGCCTTTGTTCTTGAAGTTGCAGTCCTTTTAGTAGCCTCTGTTCATAGTTTTTAGTGCTTGTTTTGAGTGGCATCTGTACTTGCACTGTCCTAATTTACTTTCTATGACAATCATTGTAAATCCAGAGATGGTAGGAAAGGCAGAGAAATCAGAGCTATTTTCTTGTTTTACCCTTTCACCTTTTCAGTTTAGGAGTACAATTTTATTGTGGAAAATGCACTATTTTCTTAAAGGGGGCTGTCTTTGCTAACAGCTAAAAGTAGTAATCAAGATTAATAGCAAGACTGCTCTTCCTTTATTCCAAATTTATTTGAAGCACATGGAGGCTCTTTGCGCGTGGTTAGTTTCTCTGATTTGCCTTCAGCATGTTTGGGAGGAGAAATGCTTCAAAACACCAAAAACACCTTAGCTTTCTTTACTGAAGTTGAAAGGTGATGTCAAAGTAGTTGTTGATAGCCAGCATTGAATAGTTTTAATGTTTGTTTAAACTACGTGGTTAACTGTTTTTCTTATGCTGTTCTCAGATGTTCTAAGAAGTCACAGTGAGGCATGTTCTGAAAATAAAGACTTGCAGCCTTATATGCCTATTCCACATGTGCGTGACTCTCTAATACCTCCTCAGGACAGGTATATTCTCGCTATAGTTACTGAAGTACTTGCATGGAATAAAGCATGTAGCTTAGAAATAAATGAATTGCTCAATTTAGTAGGTTGCATGGTGCAGTGTTTCGATGATTGTCTTATAGATTTCTTCTGTGTGCTGGATGATATGCAGGTTGCAATGCTAACATTGTAATTCTTGCTTTAAGGAAGAAAATGAGGAAAGTCTGGAGTAGAGCAGTTGACTTCCTTGCAGCAAATGAATCTAGAGTTCGCACAGAGACACGAAGAATAGGTGGTGCTGAGTTCTTGGTTTGGAAGTGGATGCAGCCTTCTGCGGCGTGTGACAAAATTTTAGTAATACCGTCGAAAGTATGGCAAGGCCAAGGTATAGAACAATTTGGCTATATCTTGCAAATATAATTTGTTGTAAATTTTGTGCTTCTTCCTGAATGATATTTTGTCACTTGAAAATGAAAGATTTGTTTTCTCTGACTCCTTTAAGCATGGTTATGAATTGTCAGTGTTATTTCTCTTATCATCTTGTTATTTAGCTGATTTGCTTTTTTGTGTATTCAGTGTCTGTCTTATTTTCATGTAAAATAGGTTTTTTCCGTTGTAGCTACTGCAGAACTATAGCAGAGTACATATAGTCAAAATTAGTTATTGTGTTCCTTTGTGTGAATTCAAAAACTTTTTTAGTTGGTCTAATTCTGACCTCCCTTATACCGGTACATACCTATTAGAAGTAATGTAGTCGTTTATATCTGACAGCAGGTATATCAGAGCTTCTAGACTTGAGTTTGTTACTGTTAAGTAAGGCACCTTAAAGTGGAGTTTGGAGAAACAGCTGTTTATTTTGAAAGGGAAGCTGCTGGGATAAAAGATTATTCAGTCAGCAAAACATGTTTTTTTTAGCATCTCCTACTAGTGCTTGTTCTCTGTAAGAAAGGTTTTTCTATTCCGTGCATTCTTTTTTCAAGCTCTTTGGCACAGCAAAGCATTTGTTTTAGGAGAGAAGACTCATTGTAAGTGAACTTTGCAATGGCGTGTCACTTCTCATGTTTATCATGGAGCCACTGACGGTGCTAATGAAGTAAGAACCCAGTAGGACATTTGGTTGTTTGTCTGCAGTGCTTATCTTCCCCTAGCTCTTTTTCTTCCTGTCTTTCTTCATGCAAAACTTCAGAAAATTAAAGCTATAATTAAGAACCTGTTGACTAAAAGTTTTGAATTCTGGGTTGCAATATAAAGGAATGGTCACTTCTATCAAAATCTAAGTATGGCAGGTAAATGTTGAAAGTGAAGACCTGGTTGCCAGTTATTTAAATCTTGTGACTCTTCAAGAGTCTCTGTAGTCTATTTTGCATTATGTTCTTCAGCAATGCTATATTATCTCTCCAGTGTGATTGAAATAAACACAGTACAGAATCCTAACTTATCCACCCATTAGCTTATTTTAATGGGGAGGGAAGAGGGAGCTGCTGCTTTTCCTGTTCTTAAATCAACTTTTATTTATTTATTTTTTTTTATCAGATGTTATCAAGTGTTCTGTGGCATTGAACTAGATGCTGAATGAAATGTAGCTAAAAACAAAACAGTCTTACTTTACTCCCCTTCCTGGTTCCACTTAAACAAAAGAAACCCCACCAACAAGCAAGTGATTTCTCACTTATGTTCTTCTGGAGTATGCCTGTTTTGGTCATAGTTTAACTGATGCAAGTATTAACAGGTTTCTTTCTTTTACTTTTTACTGGTATACATTTTTGTTTGTAAGAAACAATATTTTTATTCTGTTTCCCATTAAAAAAGATATAAAGTGGTTTCTTCAACAATCATTATTTCCTTTTCAAAAACAGAGGGAAAGACATTGTGAGCTTATTTTTGGCTTGAAACACTTGAACTGTAGCGGGCTTGTTTCCCTGAACAAGAGAGTAGTGCTAACATTCCGGTGTTCTTCCAGGACATTTGTATGTTTTCATGTGGTCTGGGTATGCGTTCAGCCCTCAGGTCTGAAGTTTTGCTTTTTGGTAAGTTCAATGCAAAAACAAACAAACAATCCTTCCCCTACTAATTGACTGTCAAGTCAATACTTGACTTGAGGAGTCAGGTATTTGCAAATGCCTCAGAATATTTGGCACGTTATCTGATCAGAGTCCTAGCTGGTTGGGTACCTGTTTCTTGCTTGTCTGTGCCAAAATGTTATGCTGTGATATCATTAAATACTTCTCAAAGTTATGCCACTATTTTTAGCGTTACATTTCTCACTTCTAATCATTCATTGGAAAAAAGGTGTCCCTGTTCCCCCAGCTTGTGAATAATGCTGCAGGCTTGAGGTTCTGCTAGGCGCTGTCTTGAAGTAGTAGCAACGTGACATTCTGTTTTGGCAACTATATGATATGATCAGAGTTTCTCAAAATTAAGTTTTTAGCTAGTTACTATTCACATCTTTCTTTCTTATGAGAGTTTCAGAGCCTTTTTCCCTAGGACATTGTGCATTAGGGATGTGTGAGAGCTTTCATATGACGCAGACACTGGATTTTGTCTCTAGCTGTTTCTATTCCATCTCTATAATACTGTTATGTTTGAATTTTTGAAAAAACTATATTGAATGTAGCTTCTGCAAGCTATGCATATTATAAAGCTAAATCTTTTATAGTTTACTCTTCTATACAGGCTGGGGAACATGATACTTACGTTCTCAAGTTTCTCAGCCTGCTCATTTGCTCCGTTGTTCTTGTCACATTTGTTTTAATTGCAGTGTAAATCTATATATAATGTTCTGTCCTATATCAGAAATAGGACTGAAATTTCCTTCATCTGAAAGTATTCTTGGTGGGTGATAGCCCAGGTACTGCTTTGCTATATGAACTGTTCATTCCTGATTCCAATGGATTAGTAGTTTCCAAAGCTTCGTTTAGAAATGCAGTTACTGCTGTAACTATACTGTCTGGTACCCTAAGAATTTGAGGATCTGATACCTACTTCAGCATACTGAAAAACGTACAGGAGAGCTCTGTCTGTCAGCTGTAGCGCTTACTTCTGTATCCCCTAGAATATGTGCCTGACATACTCTGTCTATGCTTTTTTTTGTTGACGAGTATATGTTAAGCTCTATCCTTTTTCAGTTCTTTCAGCAGCAGTTTTCCTAGTTCTCTTGTTATGTTTCTACTTCAGCAAAGCTGTATGGAGAACTGGAATGGCATACTTTGGCTCTAACAGAAGAGCATGTAAATGGGAGTTGTTGGAATGATGTAGAAATGACTTTGTGCCTCTTAGTAGCCAATTAAGAGGCAAAGGTAACTTTCACATGCTAAGGCTTTTTCTTCCGAGTTCCTTGTTTTCACAAGACTGTTGGAAAAAGTTCGGTGACATAAGTCTCTCATACTTTTTACACAACTGTTTCTTCCACAATACTGGCAATTCTACATGGAGATGGTGTTTTCTTCATTTGTGGAAGTATAAATCAACTAGAAGGTTTTATTCCAGTTTTAATGTTTGAATACAGAACTTCATGAATCAGGCTGGAGATTATCTTCTCAAGTACTCTTCAGGTTTGCCAAGCCCCAGACAAACTCGGTAACCTATAAAAGCAAAGTTCTTGGTTTTGAATCTTGTGGGAAAAAATGTCAGTACCGTGATTTTTTTAAACTTTCATTATCTGGTAGCGTTCCATAACAGAACGCAATACCTAGTATATGTGCTACTGAAGAGAGTTTTAAGATCTATCAATCTATATGTACTAGGACATGAAATGGATGCTATGATACATCAAAGTAGGGACCTGTAACGTGCATGAAGATCTAGGCTCTACATCTGTATTAGTTTCTAGAGTTTTGTTTGTGGTACATCCAGAGTTCATTTGGATCATTGTGGCATTTTATCCAATCCTTCAGGATGCACCCTGCGTTTTGATAGACAGTAGCTTTTTTCTTTTCATTTCTTTCATTCTTTTTTTTAAACTCCATCAGAATAGAGGTTTTGGTTTTTTAAGATATTTATTGAGTGTCTACTGGATACATTACCTGTATTTGTCAAAAGAACAACGGGTAGGGTAGGTAAGCTGATACTGTAGGCTGATGGACAAATACGAGCAATGTTTTGAAAGCAACTGCCTAGAAAATTGTCAATTAAATAGTCTTGTTCATGCCAAAGCGTAATTTCATTAAAGCAATGAAAGAAATATTTATTTCTAGTCTGTTCAGTTTGCTGTAGAAAGAAGGAATGTTACTGTCCTGTCATGTCCTCAATAACTGGAACTTTAAGGGAAAATATGTAGACAGAGCTTCAGCATAGCTAAGCTAACAATGATAGCAGAAGTTCTTTGACAGCTCTGGAGGTGAAATAGAGGTTCTCCAAAGTACTGCGGGTAGGGTGATATTTCATCCGGCAGCATGGAAGATAACCTGTTACCTTTCATGAATGACACTCCTCCTCCCACATCTGTGAGGATACAGTCCTTTCCCTGTGGTAAAGAAGCTCTGTTAACTATTACAGGAAAACTGGAACATATTTTATACTTGTGTTAAAATTCTGTATCTGTCCCATGCTGGTCTTCTGTAGCTGAACTATTATTATATTAAAACCCAAGTCAACCATGCTCTCCTCTCTATCTTACTAACATTTGGTAGTATTTGGACTTGATGATACCTTTCCCATCTACTGAAGAACCTCGTGTGTTATATAACACTTTCAGCTAGATGTTTTATTTTTTTTGTTCTTGCCTCTGATAAGAATGGAGGAGATCCTGGGAAATCTCTTTGCGGAAATACTGTAGTGAATCAAGAGGTACAGAAAGTAGTTCCATAATTTCTTTGGTGTTCCTTTTGAAATCACACTGTGTAAGAGCCACTTCTTCCTCTGTTGTAGATGTATTCCAGTCAGCAATGCAGAAATTGTTGAAAGCACTCACTCTCAGCCACTTCCGTTGTTTGAATGTGGAATGATACTGTCATATACAGTTTGAGATGATAAAACCACATTATAATTGAGGTAGAGCATCACCTGCTTTTCTTGAAGGACTAGCGAGCCCCTACGGGGGGAATTTATGAAGACCTTAACTTTCTTGTCAGTGATTTATTGCACCGAGTTGTGCCCCTGCTTTCTTGTTACATCTCTGCCTCTTACCCCATCTGATAAATCTTACTGTTGAGACTTCTATTTAGGAAAAGAATTGGCAGATGAGATGCATATTCAGTTACTGTGTAGCTCAGACCACTGTCCCACAAGAATATTTTGTTTATGCCCTTATTGTGAGAGATGCTGTCATTATGAGGATATTTTGTCTGTTCCACAAGCAGTGGAAATTTTCAAATAATCAGTACTGTAATCTGAACAGTTATGTCACTTAACTTAAACTTGTTTTTTTTTTTTTTTTAATTTCATTGGTGTAGACATGCAATGAAATTCAAGAAATGTCTGTTAGCTACACTGTTTTGAATTCTGCTGTGTAGGTACAGCATTATACGTTAATTACTTTTCCTTGTTTGTTTTTTCCCGGCCTCCCATTTTAGATCTGTGGGGTTTTTTGGTATGCTTTTTCATGCTTATTGTGCCAGCAATAACTGTATACCTCACTGATTTCTATCACCAACTCTTTCTTGCAACTTAGATGGAGCTTTCTACATGTAAAACTTTCTTTTCATTTAGGATGACTCTGGAATATTTTTGAGAAAAAGCAGCACTCATCTTTGTTTTCGTATACTGCACTGCTGTGGGCACATTTGTTTTACTGGCGCAAGGTAGCTTATTTTTTGTGTCAGGGCTGATGTTCTGTTCTGACCAAAGTAGTCTGCAAACTTTGAGGTCCTGATGTGCTTTTAGGTGGAAAATTATTAGAAATTGGAGCAGATAGGGCTAGTTTTTATAGGTACCTACACTAAAACCCGGATTCCCTATTTGGTTACTCTTGCTTAGTTCACTGATGTAGCTTCCTTCTTAAACAACAGTGTATTTGTAGAGTTCACAAGCAGCTTGCAAAAATATTGATCCTGTGGGCCTTGGGTCTCTGCAAATAACCTCACCGTTCTTTATCCTTAGATCAAAACAATGTGCTGAATAAACCTAGCTGTTAACAGTCAGCACATAGTGTCCTCAACCCCACGCCTTTTCAGGTCCAGGTCCATGACTAGGCCACCCCAGATCACCTTCTCCAGTATGGTGTGGTGCCCTAGTGTACAATATGCTGGTGACATTTCACCCTCCCTTGATCTGCTGGAGCCAACCTACGTAAGTAAGGTAAGTCCATTTATTTTTCGGTGTTGCTTAGTTCTGTAAAGTTTTGATTGTATACCCTATATATAACTTTTAATTGGGGTGAAAAACTTTACAAAACCATGTGCTGTTGAAAAAGGACTTGTCTGTAAGCCGGAGGCAGCTCAGATTGGTGCAGTGTCACCAGCATATTTAGAAAACTATTTCCAAGAAAAACTGGTCAGTTGTTATAGGTATTGTTGATTTGAACAGTGTATGCATATGTTCTAATAAAAGCACTTTTAGTTATTTGGAAAAGTATGATAGGTTCTATATTAGATGTGGAGGCCACCTTTTGAAATTTCTAGGTGGTGATTGTATGTTTTCATGCCTCATAATAAATTGACGTATGGAGTATGTTGCTCTGCGCCATATCTGCAGGCAGTGAATTTTCTCTTGGCTAATGCTTGTCTTTCATATGCAATATCTTCTGTGTGCCTGTCGATGGGATATTTGTTTTGATGAGTTATGGAGGAGTAGTGGTGTTCATATCTTCAACGCACTTTTGAGATTTTATTTTAAAAAGTCAACAATAGGAAACATAGACCTGTAGGGTCATCTGGCTAGAACTGAGACTCCTGACACTTGGAGCATAACATCCTGAATACCTCATACCCTATCGAAAGTAGGGATTGTGAAGCGTTAGCATCAGTTTAGAACGTCATTTTGTCTTGTGGAGGTTTTTAATCTTATGTTAAAACTTTTGCATCTGTTCATCTACAAGGCTTCAAAATAAAACTTCTTTCAAATATTGGAAGTTGTTTTATCAGGTTACCACTTCTGTTTTTGGTGGTTTGTTGGCTCTTCTCCAGACATGGAACCACTTTATCTGATTCTGTAGGTCTCCTGTCTTCCTTTTTTCATGGTTCACTCTTCTGTTGTGACACCTACAAGGAGAATCTTAACTTTAGAAGGAAGCTAATATGTGTATATATGTGTGTGTGTGTGTGTATATATATATATTTATTTATATTTGAAAACTTTAGAAAATCTTTCATGGGACCATTCAGCTTTGAAATAGTTGCTCTGTTATTTTTACTGTCTGTTTTTCTCCTCATACCTGTCTTGTCTTCTGGTGTGATTCATTTCAGTTCTTTAGCCAATTTCTGATCGTGTACATAGAGCATCTAGGATTACAATAGCTCCATCCTTATAGAGGGCTTCTTGTCCCGTTATTGCAATACAGGTGTGATGTGGCATCCATCTAAACACCTTTCCTATTTCTTCGTCAGACAAGCAAATTGCCAAAAAATGGAAGAACTGAAAATTCATCAAATAGTTAAAACGGAACAGTTAACTTGCAGCTCCAGAAACTGGCTCCAGTATCAAGAATATCTACCTCTTTTCACTCAGACAATTTCTGTGTTAACTGTACAGTTTTTTTGTTTTTAATGCCCTGGATTCCTCCCATTTACTCTGGCCTGAATATGAGTGAATGCATTATCTTTTTAAATCTAGAAGTTGTAAAAGTAAAGAAAATTAATTACTAGGCACGGTACACTTTCTTCAGTGCAGTAGAAGACTCTGTGGTAAACTTGAAACTCGCTTGAAGCTTTTCATATATGGAGGAAAATGTTCTTTTGAGTAAAAGCAGAAAGGTGTTAATGTACAAGGTTGACACTTGTTAACTAGATGATATTCTGCTTGTCAATAAATACTATTACTTTTTTTTTGAAGCGTTTCATCTAGATAGAAGAAATTCACCACCGAACAGCTTAACACCATGTCTGAAGATTCGCAATATGTTTGATCCAGTTATGTAAGTAAAAGCAATTCGGTATCAGTATTTCTGTGTTCATTTGAAAGCCTCTAATCCCTTCCTCAGAGAGGGTTTTGGAAGAAGCCAATGAACATGAATACCTTTTTAAAAAAAAAACAAAACAAAACACAATTGTACCAAAAAATCTGCCTCTGGCACGTTGAGAAGACATAATCTTACTGTCTCTTCCTTTATCTTTCATATCATATCATAGTCTTGATTTGTGTCTTTGGGTCACTCCTCAAGGAGTGACATTTAATCAAAGCATTTGGAGCAATGGCGATCTTTCTCTGTTGATTATGTAAATACTTGATTTTAACCACTGGCAAGGGATACTGTAGCCATCATGTGACCTAATCATAATAGACTGTAGGTTTCTAAAGTATTCTAAAGCATTTAAACTTTTGTAGAACTTGCACAATTTGCCTTTTAAAATGCTGAATTTAAAACAAATTTTATATTTTAGGACTTTGCCTAGTTTTGAAGCAAATGGATTTTTGTAATTTTTTTATAAAATCTTTTAAGCAGAAATTAGTGCAATGTGTGGCTTCCAAGGCTTGGATATAATTCTGGAGTATGTACTGTGTCTAAATATATCATAAGTTTTGCTTCATGTGCTAAAGGTTAAGGCAAAATGATTTTTTTTTGTATTTTTTAACCTCATTCACTGTCCAGTTATATCTCCATTGGCTATGGACTAGAATATGTTCGAATTTGGGGACTAGCACTTTCAAAAGCTGGAACTACTGCAGTCAGTAGGTTATGTCAGTTGCTCTCTTCTAATCTTTGAAGCCTTATTTGTCCAGTGGAAAAGAGGTACAAGGATTCCAGTCCTCCTTCTGAAGGAATTTATTTCTTTATATGTTTATGTAAGGGGGGGAAAAGAGAGGATGGTATCTTGTATCACAGAATAAAGCTGGGATGCTAATTGAGACCGAAAAATATGAGAAGTTGAGTACATTTAAAAAAAGAAAGCTTTTGATTACAGGAGGAAATAACGGGAAGTAGGAGGGGACAGTGGAGTAGGGACACAGATGATTGCTGCGTTTGGACAAATTATCTTCAGCTCCCAGTCTCCCTTGTATTTTTAGCCCCACTGCTGCTTTAGTTTCTTGCGTTGTTTGGTCTTCCACCTTTGTCTGAGGTAGTGAAAGATCTGCTCATCTGCCTTGCCATTGTCTGACCTTCTCTTTCCAACACCATAACTGCCCTTGTTTTACGCAACCCTGCCAGTATTTTTATTCAGCACTTTGTCTCTTGTTCATTGTGGTTGCTTTGTTTGCTTCTCCCCTCCAAGGACTAAGTTTAAGACCTGTTTTTGTGCAATTCATATGCATGTGAACCATTCACACCTGAAAGAAATTTCCCTCATTTTTTCAAGGCTTGTTCAACTGTCAGGTTGAATTCTTAGAGGTTATGTGATTGAACAGTTTTAGGTTTTGAATGCAGAAGGTTGAAAAACTCTTAATTTGTTGAGAGTAGTCACCTCTTAATATGTATTTGGTATTGTATCTGAGTTTTTGACCTCAGCTGTAGGTAACATCAAAAATGCTCCAAAGCTATGCCCAAGTAGGGCAATAGGAACAAACCTGTAGAGCAAAATAATGGATACTGAAGACCTAGTGTTATACTATATGCATTTTCAAGGATAATTCTTTGGACTAGCTCTAATCTGGTTCCATGGACTGAATGCCTATTAGCAGCTGGAGTGTATTAAATGCCCCATGGAGTACGTCTTTCAGTTAAACCAGAAAAACCCTTAAAATTTGGGTGTTTTGAGACTATTCAGTAATACAAATTAAAACATGGGAAGTAGGGATAGAGGAGAGATTTCCTTCAAAAACTCACTTTATCAAAGCTAAAATGCTAATGTTAACTCACCCAATTTGATCCCTTTTCAGTAACATCATAAATTGATCACTATTCCTTTAGCAAGTGGAAATGTAACCCTTCCAGATTACTTCTGTATGGCAGCTTCTAAGTATAGGTGCTTTTTTGTCAGGTGTCCTGATAGCACAAAATGAGCTACATGGGAGAAGACGCACATTTTTATAAAACTGGATTGAATCATAATCGCTATATGCTTCAAAGACCAGTGTTCTTTTGTATTGTTACTACAGCTAGCAACGCATTTGTTTCTATGTAGTAGTCTTTAATTTTTTTTTTTCTTAAAGGAGTAGTAGTGCTTAATTAAATCTTTCATCGTTTGCTTAGGGAAATAGGTGATCACTGGCATTTAGCAATTCAAGAAGCCATCTTGGAGAAATGCAGTGATAACGATGGAATTGTTCATATTGCTGTGGACAAAAATTCACGTGAGGTGAGTGTGTTTCCAGTAGCTTAAGGCTTTATTTCTCTTTGTCTGTTGGACTGTAAACCAAAACTCTCTTTCTTAATGCAGGGTTGCGTGTATGTCAAGTGTCTGTCTCCAGAGTATGCTGGAAAGGCTTTTAAGGCATTACATGGCTCTTGGTTTGATGGTAAGAAGTTGGGGCTTCTAACAAAATATGGGTAGAGATGGCAGAGGGTGGGGGGCAGTTGGAGTCTGTTGAAATGGCTTTTTAAGTGTTTTATATCTGAAGTACCAAGCAGTAACAAAAACAACTGGATCTCTTTAGTAAATGTAATCCGTATCACCTGATAAGAGAGTCTGTGTAATGACATATTTTCTGTTACATCCTAAAGCGAAATGTAATAAATATCCTAAGCTAGTAGATCTTTGTTTTCCTGTTCCTTTGCCTTATAGGAAAGCTGGTAACAGTAAAATACCTGCGGCTAGATCGATATCATCATCGTTTTCCCCAGGCTCTTACTTGCAACACTCCCCTGAAGCCATCAAACAAACACATGAACTCTATGTCACATCTCCGTCTTCGGACAGGCACAGCTAATTCTCAGGGAGGTTCCTGAGAAGACTTTCTACAACTGCTAGGACTGTTACTGCAACAGGAAAATTCCTGTTTGGCTGCCGTCTTCCTTTTTTAGTGCTTTTTGTATGTGATACTTTAATGGATTAAATAAAAGTTTTGAACGTTCCAGAAATCTTGTTTCCAAAGGGACTTAGCAATGAGGCAGTAATACTGAGCTGATGAAAAAAAAATTGCTTCAGGAAGTTTGGGGGGAGGGAGGGCTATACTAAATCAATGCATTTAAGTTTTGCATGAGAAATACCGAATTCATTAAACATTTTCAGATGTGGTAACTGTATTTTTGCACCAAGAAGTGTTTTTGATAATACAAAAGCATGGAGAAAAGACAACTTCCTGTATTTCCATAGTTTCCTGTGAAATAATCTTGTGGGTATTTTGTAACAACCAACCTACAGTTCCTGATGGTGAGTAACTTAAAAATATTTTTTTCAGTCAATATTAGGGTTTTGTTGCTGTAAAAGAATCATTTGCTGCAGCTAAGATATGGGGAAGTTAACCTGGCATTAGTGGTTGCATATAAGTGTGAGGGGGAAAACAAGCTGAATGTGGATATATACTGGGTTTTGTATATAAATTGTAAACGCTGGTGGTGGCAAAAATGGCTGTGTTATGTGAGGATGTCTGCATAGAAGCAGTGAACAAGCTTCCAATTTTATTCAAAACCTAATGTTTTATATGGTTTTGGCTGTACCATGACAAGAGGCCAAACACCTTAAAGTGTTAGATACAAGTTAAATATCTTTTATAGGTTTTATATTAAAATACCTGACTATGATTTTGTGTGAAAGGTCTGATACCAATTGTAATGAATTCAAATTTGTGAGCAATAAAGAAGCAATTGGCAGATACTGGAAAAATATTTTGTGAAAAGCTGTATTTATTATTACAATTGCCAGGGCTGTGACAAAATACCATTGGGATTAAATGACTTTCCCAATACATTTATAACTCGTTTTAATTAACCAATTACCTTTTAAAACTTTAACAGGTACATGCTTTCTTGCAACAATTTTGGCTGATGCAAACTAGAAATAATAGCAGATGTTCAGCTGACAGTAACTCTTGTGATTCCAAGCCTGTAAATTTATTAACATTTACCCAGTAACTACAAAATTGTTGCTGAAAAGTTTAGTTGCAAATCTTAGACTATTGGCTTTACTAATGCCCACTCCTACAACACAATTTTAACTAATTATCCAGCTGAATATTCCATAGGTGGTGAGACTGAAAGTGCACCAGTTCAATACATTTTATTGAAATTCACTTTATTTTGTAGATATGATGGATTTGCAGCATGAACTTGCACAAAAAATGCACGTTTTTCTTATGGTTAAGTAAACATGATGCACACTATTCTGCAACAGAAAATCCTATTGTGCCTTACCTTTGTGCTTTTGTGGGCACCATGTTTATTATTGGAGAGTTTGCTAACCGAAAAATTTTAAATTCTCAGTTTTATGTCTCAGATGCTAATGAATGAGTATATATAATATATAATCAGCCATGCAGAATTCTACTTACCAAGAACAAGTACATATTTTTGATGGGTGAGTAGATTTTGTGCCAGGTCTGGTAGATTTTGATGAGTTTTACTATATACATATATGTATAATATACATGTATATGTATTATATATGTATATAAACTAATTTTGTTGTATTTGATGTGCACCATAGTGATTTGTTAACCTGACCTTAGTGACCCCATCTTGTGACCTGTTGCAAGAGTGAATGTAAAAATAGTTGTGGCATTTTAAAAGGTCGCCTTTTGATGCAGATGCATCTTTCTTGCTTCTAAAATATATTTCTTGTAAACACTGTACATTTTATTATTGTAATATGACTATTATGCAGCTTATTTTACCTAAAAACTGTTAAGTTGACCAATATCCCTTCCTGCAAGACAGATGGGAATGTGTATAATACTCTAAACATTTGAGGAAAAATCAGATGTTTGATGTAATTTGTCACCCTGTCATGTAAAAACAAACAAAAAAAAACCAAAAAACACTGAAATTAAAGGTTTATTAGGGGTTTTTATATGTGTTTCACCTTCTAGATTTTTTTTTTTACTTGAATACTTGCTTTCATCCAGGGGTGAGG